CCTGGTCTTTAAGTATTGCAGAAGCAATTTAACAGACATAGAATCATAAATATTTCAATGGCACAAACCATTGCACCAGCGACATAACTATTTCATTTACTTCACTGACATGGATTATAATTAGATCAGCAGAAACATGATACTCTCTTTCTCTCTCTTTCAACTTTCACTCCGATCCCCACACAGCACAAACACAAACATATTGGTACACACAATTTCATAGAAGAACACACACATCATCGTGTTTATGTAACTAAACACACACACAAAGAGATGCACCAAAATGTTACAGTGTTACACAAACAACACTTTGGACTTCAAGCATGAATATCAATACAATGTTTATATCCAGTGATTGTGGCCACAGTAATGGGCAAAACAAATTCACGAAATGAATGGAAAAAGTGAATTAGGAAAATTAAGAAACTGTACCCTAAAAATTAATAGAAAACTCTTGAGACAAGAGCTACTCATAACCAATCACATTAATATAACACCAAATAAGAAGCCTATGAAGACTAATACAACACATTAAAAAAAATTATTTTGGCAGAGGCAGTAAAATGAAAACAAAAAAGTAAAACTTTCTGGGAAAACAAACAAACAGAAGAATATTGATAAAAATGTTTTTGAAGGTTAACCTGAGACAACAATTATTTTGTAAGATCCATGTTATTATTCAAAAGAATCTTTGGAAAGAGCATTACAGCATGATATTACATGTAGCCTACTTGATCGATACCAGAATGATTCTCAGTGAAGAGGAACCAATGCTGAATCATTGGAATGGACTCATGGGTGCAGGTAAATGGATTTGAAACCACATCCTGTTCATGTAACACCGCCACTCATTTTGAGTAAAATATATATAATTATGATAAACAAGCTTTCATTAAGAAACTCATTCTAACTTATTCTACGCTTCAATAAACTTGAACAGGTATACTTTATAATACTTTTGATAAACTAAAAGAATAATGTGTATAGAGTAAAGCTGAGTAAAAACAATTTTGTTTGATATAATTTTGCCTTTTCCTAAAAAAAAAAAAGGCCTGATGTTTTTCGCAATGACTTTTTTCATACAAGGACTGAGCATCACGCCACCATAAGTACTGTAAATATCTTATGTTCCCATCTATCTGATGTTGGACTGTTTTTTAGACACACTGCTTCAGGCCTGCCCGTCAGGGCTACCTCAGCTGAGTGGAATACCTGTTAGCAGAAAGACACAGAATCCTCAATAAAATATTTTTTTAAAGTGGAAATCAAACTTTTCCATCTTAAGCTTTATAGCTGTACCCCAGGAAGATTGATATTAAACAAATCATAATATACAGAGGTTACATAGCCTAGCCAAATTCACAATGGAAGCAACTTTTATCAAAGTCACAGTTCTCTTGTGGTCGGATTTATGTTACCACATATCTGCTGCTCTCGCATTTGCTTAGAAGTCATAGTTGTGAAGGAGGTCAATGAATGTATATATATATATTTTTTTTTTCCCATCCCGATTTCTCCCCTCATTAAGTAACTTCTGTGGTAAAAGAACAAAATTCTTGTCCAGCTACATGTTTTCTGCGACCCTTAAGTATAATACTCCACAATAACATAAAATACAAGACAGACTCATAAAATAAAAACACACAAGAGAGCTTTAGAAAGTCAAACATGCTCCTAGACAAAAAACCTGTAGAAATGACCACTTCCCACTCATCACGTCCCCTGTTTTATAAAAAAATTCAATACACTGTCCAAGACTGTCAAAGTCTACCACTTCACTTTTCTGCTCAATAATGTGTGGTCGTCTTGAACAAGTTCGAATTTGTATTGTATCATCAAGCATAATCAAAAGAGAATCTTCCCATTGAACAATAGACAATATTTTAAAAAGCCAATAGAGAAAATGAGGAGGCAAAAATCAGATTGAAGGTTCATCAAACAAATCAATACACCATTCACCACTCTATTAAGGACAGCCAAGTAAAACTTCTTAAAGAGTTTCTCTGCAAGATCACCCAGTCAGAACACATTTTAAAGGACAACACATCATGTTATGAAAATCTGCGCAAAACATCTCTTAAAAGTTCAAGGACCATCAGGCAAAAATCCTGTTTGACACAATAACCAATTTCTATGTCAAGTCACGCCACTATGGCTAGAATTTTAAATTAGGCGTGTTACATTATGGCCACATTCTATATATGTCTGACAGCAGCCCTGCATTGAGTAGATCTACTTCTTTAAAGTACATTGTGTTAAAGGAGTTGTCCTTAAAATCCTATTACAAATCTAGCAGTCATTTTTAAAAATCTGCAAAGAAGCTATCAATGTCCCATGAGGGCTTTTACAAATAACATTCCATTATAACACATAGACACAGAATTTTGATTCTTGGTCAGAACCATTGTCATTGGGAGCAAAGTTTGGTAAATTTTGAATACAGTTCCAGTTTAACGGAAACAATTAATGCGCTTCAATTTAGAAAAGCAATGGCACTCACAACTGAAGAATTAATTAGTCTCTACAAAGTTCAGTAGCACAGTTTTTAAAAACTCTATGGTTAAATCTAGGTCCATATGGGAGGTGAGTTAATTTACGCTTCTTTTTCATACTAGGTGTGCTAAATACATGTACACAAAACCTGTTTCCAAAGAACCCTACCATTCACTGTTCTCTTTACAGTTTTGCTTGAAACCTTATCAATATTAACTCCCCCCCC